TGAACTGGGATGATGATGAACCAAAGAACCTCGATAAAGCCTTATAACTTCTATACTGTCTAAGGTTCTCTTATGGCACCTTTTAAGTAAAACTCTGTAAAAGCTATAGTAAAAAAGCACTTTCAGTTGTAAGTTTTCAAAGACCTTTTCATCCTTGTATTAGTATAAGACCAGTAGTGGATGTAACTCTGTAAATGTTAATGAAAAAAATAAATAACATAGGTTGGTGTCTTTATGGTAGGATCAAACCAATTAAAGAACAGTTAATTCAACAAGAAAACAAAAAATATTCAATTAGACAGAGAAGAGAGGCCTTTCTATTTGATTAAAAATAAGAGAGAAATACATGACAATATACTGGTAGCTGAAGACCATGGTGAAACTTTCAATCGATCTTGACGGATGAGAAAAGATTGTGGACAAAATAGAATGATGTGATGAAGCCAATGGTGCCTGTAGACAACATGATTGCAATTGCCATGATCATGGAGTAGCCAAGATAAAGAATAGCTGATACAGGACCACTCAAACTCTGAAGGTCAAAGACCAAGTAGTTGATGGAGTATAGGAACACATAGAGGGCGACCGAACCCGAAGCAAAGAAAGCCTTCCACCACCATCGCCAATCCTCGACACAGAGATGCATGTAGGTAAGGACCACCGACACTTCAGCACAAACAATGACCAGTAGTAGGAGAACTATAAGCAAGAAGCCAAACACATAATAGAACCTGCCAAGCCAGATGCTAGAAAGGATGAAGAAGAGTTCGATGAACAGGGTTCCGAATGGAAGGGCCCCGACACCAAGAACGAGAAGCCAAGAAGGATATTTGTGTGCAGGAATCTCCCTTGGGATCTGGTTGGTCCGTACAGGATATTGGATAGGTTCTGCTCTGGTCCCCAAGAATCCTCCCAAGAGAGTGAGAGGCACAGAAACGCAGAACCAGAGAGACAAGAGTAAAAAATACAGAGAAATGGGAATTGTACCAGTACTTTTGCTGCCCCACAGAATAAAATTTAATACTGTGAGGATAACAAAGACAATTCCAGGAAAGAAGCATGCGACCGACCAGGAAACAGACCTCCATCCTTCAGAAGTGCCCTTGAGAGTTCTCCAGAGTCGTACAGCAGCATAGCCAGCAGCGGTACCCAAGAAAAGATAGAGAATAATCATCCCTGTCAGTAGCATTCCTCGTGAAGCTGGTGACATGAAACCAAAGGCAGCAAAAACTATAGTGACAGCTGCCATTCCTGTGATCTGAACTCCATCTCCTATCATCACACAGAGAAGTTTCGGGCAATCTGGTTCCCTAAAAACATCACCCACAACAAGCTTCCATCCAGAAAGCTCTTCATTCATTTGTGCTTGAGCTTCTTTGTCCAATTCCTCATACCTTGTCAAATCCCTCCTCACAGTCCTCAAGAAAATGACAAACACAATACCAGCTAAGAAAGTAATCACCATCAAAGAATTCAGAATTGAAAACCAGTGCACACGTGCTCCTTCCATCTTCAAGTAAGCATCCCACCGAGATGGCCATTTAATATCACTTTTAACAAACTCAACCTCGTAAGTAAAAGAGATCCTCTCTCGTTCCCTTATTATCTGTGACTTGTCTAGCTCCAAGGGGCAGTTCACGAGAGAGATACTGTCATACATGTGAAGTTTAGTCATAACTTCTGGATCGTACTTGACACTGCATGGAATCACCTCAAAACCAACAATCTCGAAACCAGATGCCTTCTTCTGATCAGCTTCAGAGATCACACCCATCCCTTCTTCCCCGGTTCCAATTATCTGCACACCAGTGCCTTCATACTCGTGAACCAAGACCTTGAACTTCAGATGATTGATAATGTAATCATCATTACTATTTGGTGGAGTATACCCAACCGGAAATCCAGTCCACTGAATGTTAACCCCATTCTGTTTCGCAATCCTCATAACCGGTAGATTGTCTAGAATCATATTCACTTGATATAAATCGCGAGTCCTCTGTTTCAAAAGATTAACCTCATGCTCACTCAAGGGACTAGTAGTGCAAAGGTAGAGAGACTCATTCACATTCATTCGAAACCGATAAGGTGAGTTATCAATCTGATCTCCCATGAGGAGCTCACCTAGATTCTCGGCACTTTTCTTAATCCCACCGAGAGGTTTGCAGTAAGGGAGACTGTAATAACCAAAAGGAAGCTCGGTTTCAATGGAAGTCAATGAATTAACTTTGGCAAATATAGTGTCCGAGGTCGAATACGTGTGCATGTAACTCCCAGGCAGGTAAAACCCATGAGAATAATGGGCAAAAAGAACCACTAACAGAATAACCGAGCAGATTCCGGGTTTCTTTCTTTCCGGGAAAACCATGATGATATCAGATCTTGCAATATACTGTCGAATCTAAGCTACTCTAGATCGAAGCATTCAGAATGAAAAAAGAAATCTACAGAAAACAGATGTTCAACATTCAGTTTCCATACAAATTCAACTTAACATTAACTAATAAAAAACCTGAAAGGATACTCAGATACCTAAGCATAAAACAATTTCATTGCATCAACTTTAAAAGCGGTAGATCCATATACCGAAATGCAAAAAGCATGATTATTTAAAAAACATTTCAACCAAAACTACTGAAACCCAATCATATCAATTCAAAATCGTAAAACAGATCACAGTACTGAACAAAAGAAAGAATTGGAAGATTAGATCTAAAACCAAAAAACCCCCATTTAAGTAAAAGGCGGAGAAACAATAAAAGAATATTGGATAAAGAACCTGAGACGAGTCTTGGGGACTTTCGGCTCCTTGATCCAACAATGACACAGAAAACGCGTAAGAACGAAGCAGAGAACCTGGATTTTGTTTCTCTTTGATATTTCTTTTCCCTCACAATGGTTTAACTTCAAAGCTTCGAAGAATTATGCGAATATTTTGAACAGAAGATAACGGAGATTGGATGATTTATATAATAGAGTGACAAATCGAAGAACGTGAGAAACAGTAAATAAAATTGAGAAATTTAATGTGGGGTAGTGACCTAGAGTGACAGAGCTGTCGGATATTTAATTAATTTTTGGGTAAACTACATGGAGACCAATTAACTATTGCCTACTTTCATTTTGATCATCGAGTTTTCAATTTCATCAGTCAGATCACTCAATCATTTAAATGCTTCAATTAAATCACTAGCCGTTAACTTTTAACCGGAGGAGGTGACTTGACAATTTAAAAAACTTGATATAATTATATATTTGGTCTTCAATATTTATACATTATATTAATTTGGTCAAAATTTAATTTAATTAAATAGTGACACAAACCAGTACCTGATAAGAGGATGTTTTCTTTCTTATTTACTTATTTATTCTAATTTATTTTTTCACTAAAAGATAGTAACATGTGCTATCACCTTATTCCCTGGCGGAGTTAATATACATTGTAGACATCCCAAAAAATTTTAAAAAGAAATTTTTTTCATGTAAATTATATATATATAATAAAATTAAAGAAATGACAAAGCCTTTTAAAAAATAAATTGATACCAAGTTTTAAAAAATATTTAACAATAAAAAATTTAATATGTATATAAATGAATAGAACGTTCAGTGAATTATTCGATGAGAATTCGTTTATGTTCGTTTATTTATTAAATGAACGAACATGAACAAGATTTTATGTTCGTTTAATTAAATGAACGAACATGAATAAAGAGATTGTTCATTCATTTACCTTCGTGAACGTTTAGTAATCTATTCCTTTATGTTCTTTCGTTATATTCACTCCAATCTCTGACTCGTTTGAATTATTAATACCTAATAAATTTTAACCTTAAACACATGAATATTTTAAAATCCAATTAATTATAAACCCAAATAGAAAGTAATCAAATCACTTAAAGAAAATATAAATTCTAAAATTATTTGGAAAGAAAAAATTCTTCTCACATATAAATCAAATTAATTTTATATTCGCTTACGTCCGTTCGTTTGTATTCGTTTATCATTTTAACGAACATGCACGGACAAACTATATTTCTTAATGAATGAACAAGAAATTTTGTTCGTTTAGTTTTTTGTGTTCGTTCATTCAATCGGTTAAAGTTAAACGAATGAATATGAGTATACTTCGTTCGTGTTCATCGTTCGTTTACAACCCTAAATTTTAATACTCAATTTTGATCTAAACTGCAACATTTTTTTACGTATCTTATTTTAGTTGATGATAGGGAAAAAAATAATGCTAACAAAATATTTAAACTTGGGGTTTTAAGATGGATGGGACCACCTTAATCATTTAAACTTGTGTTCCAATATATGTCATTATCTTTATTGCCTTTGGACATGGGATACGGCGAAAGGGATTCTTTTGCTTCATACCTGGTTACCCTGAACTTGGAAGTTATTTGAGAATAGTGGTTGTTACAGAGTTTCATGATCATTGCATTTGTCCTTGTTAGCTTCCCATGATAAAATCTATGTTGCTTTCATTTTGTAATTTTCTTGAAATTCCCTTGTTCAGTGCTTGTGTCGAACAGAAAACCCCTATAAACTCTCCAAATATAAAAAAAAAAAAACATAGGGAAACATACCCGTGTTAGATGGATATCCGCATTTTCGAGTAGCATAGGAAAATAACCTGGTGAAGTTTTCTTTCACGCATTCTCTTTGGTTATATTTGTTGGTATTTTTTAATTTGGGTGCTTTTTCTTGATTTCTTATAATTCTGTTTGTCTTGAACTCGGTTCATGCGGTTGAGTTTATTTGTACATCCCTTATTTATTTATTATGTTTTCTGATTTCAGGAGCTCATGAAGTCTGCCTTTCATGACATAGTTTCTGATGAACTCAAAAAAATTAAAGACTCGTCAATGAGTGACAGTTTGGGAAGATCAAACTCTGTCCCTGAAGCTTCTGATGAATTATGGGAATACAATGGCCTTCAAGATGCATATCAAGGTGAATGTGAAGAGATATTGTTAGAACTGCAAAGAGTGTTTTACGAGGATCTTAGGAGAGAGCCGGAAGGAAAAGGTAATTAATAGTCCCATTTTAAAACCAACGCTGTTAAGGCATGCATCAAAGTGTCGAGGTATTCATGCCTTTCCATAAGTGGGTGAATGATCATGCAGATGCCTGACTCGGGAGGTTATATTTGCTAAAGTCACCCTTTTTGAGTTCAAATGTTTACTCTAGTTCCTTGCAGAACCAAAACAAGGAATAGAAACTTGGAAAGTTGAACAAGATGAGTACTTGGCCAGTGCAGTTTATGAGCATATGCAATTGAATGAGCAGGTTCAGTGACAATAAACTGTTCATTTTTTATTTTTTATATAAATTTTAGTATTGTGAACCCTTGGGGGACATTTAACACGCAGGGTTTTGCAGGTGTGCTAAATTGCTTTCCAGGCACCATTTTCTGATAACTTGCAATAAATTTCTATAGTATTAGTTTTTTATTTCCTGTATTATAGTTCATAGGACTTTCAATTTCATCGTTTTCTGCTATTTTTTTCTAAATTAATGAAACCAACAATATTTTTGGTGTTTATGTTAGGTGCAGCAACAGATATGGTGCCCATCTGTAAGAGAGGAGAGTTACAACAGAACCATCAGCTAATTTATTGCACCCTTTGCAAACTTCAGCTTAACAGGGGCGACGAGGTTCTCCAATCAGCTTTTATCTTTTTTCACCATTCTTTATTGCAAACTTTTATGCATGGCAACTATTTCTTTGTGATGACTCTTATCATCCGATTGCTCCATGTTTTATTTGATAAGTTTTCCCAACCCATGTTGTGCTGACTCTTTATTTTTCTTGAAGTATCCATGTCCAAACCAATGTCCGGCATATATTCAAACAATGGCATGGTATATGATCTTTCAAAGACTTTAAAGGACATGAGAAAACTTTGAGAGAAAATAAGCATACGTGTGTCAAATAAATATCTCTATCCAATATTCATACCTAAGTCCGAGAAACATAGTTCCGAACCATGAATAGCCTGGATTTTCCACCCGAGAGAAACTCTTCCAACTGAATATGATAAACCCTATAAAACAACAAACCACTTTCATTTTTTCTTTATAGATTGAGATGTTCTTGAAGCTTGCTCTTATAACAAAATAAATACGTACTTGTCTCTTTCTCTATGATTTGTTGCTTGCGTGAAGGATATGAAACATTCAAGAAAAATAAAAAATGATTTGCTATAGTAATATGATTGTGTGCACTGCTTTTATGGTTTTTCTATAAATACAGTTGCTTGATAGCTAAGCCATTGACATTTCATTCGTAGTGTTCTATACTCTCATGTCGTCATTAGGAACAACGTGAGTAAACAGATCAAAAAAGTTGCCTCTGAGGTCAACTTTCGAACTTATCAACAATCTGGTCTTATTTTCAGGTTAATTTAGATATACTACGGTATCGATTAGCGGAAGCCCATGCAGTTCATCTTGAACGAGGGTGTAGATTAAAACCCAAGTTTTGCCTCGAGACTAGATTTGGCTTAACTGCGTTGTACATCCTTTGTCAGGATTGTAGTACCTTTAAGATTGTCATTTAGCTTTCGTCTTGATCCGGCTGCTGCATGGTTCATGGGTGCATCACGCGTCTCTGATTCATTAGTTTTAATTTTTTTTTTGGTTAAGCTTCCATTTTATCTGAATCATATCTCTTCGCACAAGAGTTCTATGTTCTGCTATATTTTTTTCTTTCTTCTTTATTTCAGTATATTAAATTGAGCAGAAGAATCTCGTTTCCACTCGACTCTTACCATGAACAATAGAATCTTGTCTCCTCTCTCAGCTTTCTTTAGATGTTTGTTTTACTGTAATTCACAATCCATTTTAACAATGTCATTTCTTAAATTCGTACTTTAAATAAAATATTTTTAAAACATCATGTTAAATAAAAAAAAAGTTGTGGTAAATTATATCAGGACCATTTAATCGTGAAGGTTTCAATATGATCATTAATGTTTTAATTTTACCAATTAAATTATTTAAATGATTTAAATCAAATCATTGTTAAAAAATATATTTAACTATGTCAAAAAAAATCGTATTTAACTATTTAAATGATATAAATCAAAGTCGATTTTATCAAAATAAGACCAGTTGAGTAAGGCTGAGAAAATTGAAAAATATTTTATGAATCATCAACCTGGGCATACCCATCACAGTAATCTTACACATCTCAGAATCACACCATCAATTGAACAATATCGGTATCACTCAAACTAATCAATGCTCCTTTTGCCACCAATGAAATAAAGAGGAAAAATATATTTCTTGTAAAAGAATTAATCACAAAAATTAAAATCCCCTGATCTTCTAGTGTATGGGGCAGGTGATAATCTACATCAACTCAAAGAATTCAACTTTCCGTATGCATCAGTTGGATGGAGATTAATTAATGTACACCAATATGAACAAAAGAAGAGTACTTCACCCTCCATTACAAAACTTTGAAGCCGGTACTGCATGCTCCGTTGTACCAGCTGCTGATGTTACGAATCATCAAACTGAAGCCGACAACAGCTACAGATAGAGAACTATAGCTGCTGGAACAACCATGCATTTGACTCCAAGGGATAGTTTGCCCAATGATCAACTTTTTTAGAAACGTAACGACAACAAATCGGAACTCAGAACAGCTCCTCGAAATTGAACTTGCTCCACGCTTCCTATTTAACATAGATACAAAGACAACAGTGAGTTGCTCCCTAACTTGGGACTTGATTATCTCAAGTGATGTTCTTGTTATTCGAATATGCCAACACTGTTCTTTCTCTCTTATTAAACCCGAATTCAGTTCTTGTGTGGTTCCATGGTGGTGTATTATAAAAAAAAGGAAACTCACCCTTCGAAGAATAATAAATTAATGCAGCTTGGAGGCATGATTTTCTTTATGCAGTAAACGTTTGTTCATAGCCCCTTTTCTTTTCTGCAAAATCAATCAAAGTAAGCCCCCACGTTGTTGTTGGTGTTTGAGTTTGTAATAATTTACATATTACATTAGCTTTTCTCAGAATGTTCTTGTTTAAGTTTCAAAGCAATGGTTTCTGTAATTCATACGATGATAATGTGATTAGGGTTACCATTAATGAAGAATTAAAGTCAAAATCGGTGGATTTTGGAGGTCAAATTGGTGGGCAATTTTCGGTGGATTTTGAAAGCTAGCAGAAACAAATTATCAAAATTAAGCTGTAACTTTAGACAATTTGGTAATGGTAAAATCACGTATTTAGTCATTATACTTTAGGGTATTTATAAGATTAATCCTCAAACTTCAACTATAAAATACCCTAACTCAATTAGCTTCAAAATCATCCCAAATCATTTCTTTCTCCCAATACTAGAGAGTTTTCTGGTGAGTAGTGAGTGTTTTGTAAACACCTGTAAATTTTTTCTCTTAGTAAAAGATCTGCAGCAGTCCGGAGACATAAGCATAATTGGTTGAACTCCGTTACCAATTTTGGGTATTATTTTTCCGCTTTTATTTCGCATTCTCACTAATCTGGTTATAGGGAAAATTATTCATTCTCGTTTTATTTCCCAACAATTGGTATCAGAGCTTTTGGTTAAATTTTGTCAATTTTTCTGCGATGTTACTATTCAAATGAATAGTGAATCTCGTGAATAGTAAAATTTTGTCGGCAATACGAGTTTGTCGACGGATGTGTTCTAATACACGGTGGTTCACGGAAATTGTCAGAAACGATCCAAACGAAGCCAGATTCGAGTGGGAGCGATGGCTGCAGACAAATGAATGTGAAAATTGAGAAGTTGGATGGTGTGCTCAAGACATTCTTGGAATGACTTAGACCAGGGGCAATGCTCGAGAGAGAGCAAGGTGATGCCCAGAGACTTTCGGATGCCATAGCTGTAGCCGAAAAAGCTGACTGAGCTTGCAGGTGACAAGCCAAGTAGCGATGTGTCGTCCAGGCCCATGCCCAGAGATAATGGCAACAATGGTGGAGACCGGGAAAAGGTGCAGCAGAGAGATGGTAGAGAAAACTCTTCGAATGGCCAAGGTGAGCCATCGATTGTTCGTAGCCAAGAAAAGCTATCGTGAAAAAATGACAAGGCTAAGTCCGTTGTAAAGAAGAAGGGGAGCAAGGAAAAATTGAAGTGTTACTTTGTGATGGTCCTCATTTGATTAGAGGATGTCCCGAGAAGCGTCGCCTTACAACCATCATGAATAGGATGGAAGAAGGAGAAGTAGCAGGAATTGGCGCGATTGCAAGTGTTAAAGCTGCCAAGCCAGGAAAAATACTTGGTCCGATTGAGGGGATCAATGCGGCCAAGCAAGGATCGAGACGAGGCAAGACTATTGATGTTGAGGCAAGACTATTGATGTTGAGGCAGCCGAACCCAGAAGAAAACCCGATGCGATTGCGAGTGTTCAAGCAATCAAGTCAGAGGAAAGACTTGGTGAGGCTACGTGTTCCAAAGTAGCCGAATCAAGGGCCAAGCATGGTGCGACTACAAACTTTCAAGTAGTTAGCCCAGGATTGAGACGTGACGAGACTACGGGTGTTAAAGCAGTCGGGCACAAGAAGGGACCTGGTGCAATAGCAAGAGATAAAGCCGTCAAGCAGAGGGTGCAAAGTGAGCAAGTTCGCTCACAGTATGTCAGGATGGAGGCGTGGTCCAAGTTGAGGCGTCTCAGGCATAAAGGAACACTTAAGGAGTATGTGAGCCGATTCAGAAGACTCATGCTCAAAAGTCTCAAGTTTGACTGAAGAAGATGAATTCTTCACCTTCATGTTCGGATTGAAGTCGTGAGAAAAGAAAGTGTTGGAGCGAAGGGAAGTCAATGAGATGTCTAAAGCCTTGACAACTGCCGAAAGCCGAGGGTAGCGACAACAGATTCCATGATGAAGGCAAGTCGAAGGATAAGGAACGTTTTCCTCGAGTGGCAGAGAAAGTCCACTCAATGATGAAACAAATGATGGATCTGGGGAAGATGTGTGCAGTCTTGGCACAAGTTCAAGTGTCAAAGATGCTAAGCCGAGGGTAATTGTTGAGCAAGCGAGGGGCGCAGACTTAAGATGCCATAAGTGTTGCAAAATTACCTAAGGGAAGCTGAGTCATCCAAGGTGATGGATGAGCCCAAGATCGAGTTGTCCAGAGAAAATGACGAACCCAGGATCGAAGAGGCGTTGAGAGTTGGCTCAATAAGATTCATTTCTGCCAATGCGAGTAGAAATCAAGTGCAAGAATAATTGTCCGTGTCCAAGAAGTTTGACAAGCATGTTCGTGTAAAGAACATGGCTTCAGAGACCATCTTAAGAGAATGGTTGAAGTAGGGGCTTGCCGAGGATGTTCAAGTGAGGAGCAATCCTTCAAAGACTAGTGGACAAGAGTCGAAGGGAGCCAAGACGTTGAGGGACAAGACAATCACAGAGAAACTGCCCAATAATAAGTGGGTTTACAAGGCGGTGACTACAGAAAAACTGAAGTTGTGTTCAGCTTCAGTTGGCATGCTACAGTAACAAGAGCAGAAATGTTATTGCATTGATCGAGGTGTGAAGACAGATTAAAATCAGTCTTCAAGTGAGAGATTTTTGAATATTCAAGCCAACAATTGTTGAAGAATTAAAGTCAAAATCGGTGGATTTTGGAGGCCAAATTGGTGGGCAATTTTCGGTGGATTTTGGAAGCCACTTTCGGTGGCAACAACAAATTATAAAAATTAAGTTGTAACTTTTAACAATTTGATAATGGTAAAATCACACATTTAGTTATTGTACTTTAGGGTATTTACAAGATTAGTCCTCAAACTTCAACTATAAATACCCTACCTCATTTAGCTTCAAAATCATCACAAATCATTTCTTTCTCCCAATAATAGAGAGCTTTCTCGTGAGTAGTGAGTGTTTTGTAAATACCTGTAAAATGTCTCTCTTAGTAAAAGATCTACAGCAGTCCGGAGACGTAGGCATAATTGGTTGAACTCCGTTATCAATTTCGGATATTATTTTTCTATTTTTTTCGCATTCTCACTAATCTGGTTATAAGAAAATTACTCGTTCTCATTTTATTTCCCAACACATAGCCCCTTTTCTTTTCTGCAAAATCAATCAAAGTAAGCCCCACGTTGTTGTTGGTGTTTGAGTTTGTAATAATTTACATATTACATTAGCTTTTCTCAGAATGTTCTTGTTTAAGTTTCAAAGCAATGGTTTCTGTAATTCATACGATGATAATGTGATTAGGGTTACCATTAATGACATGGTCATGGTCCTACCATATGACCTTTGAAGATTTTCTATATGGCACGTGTTGTCCAAGTGTTTATTAATATTTTTGTCTGCTTGTAGCACAATAAATATGAGATCTATTTAATTATATACTTGAACACTTTTGTAATTTAATATATATAAGAAAAACAAAACAATAAATATTACATATAAATGATAAGCATGATTCTATTCCTACAATCAAGAGGAGACACAATATTTGTGAATACTACTCGAAAGCTAAAACATCTACGTACGGTCTCAATGATGATTAGAAGTAATAGTAGATTAAAATCCTAAACTCATTAAAAATTAAATAAGTTATAATTTATTTTTAATAAAAAATTAAATTATTAATTAAGTTAAAAACAAGCAATTTAATGATTATATATATATAATTAGAAAATAATTTTAAAAAATATATAGAATAAATTTAAAACGTAAAAATTATAAATTTATTTTTATTTTCAAAGCATTCAATTATTTTTGTCATTGACAATATTTAAGATTATATATAACATGTTAATTCACAAACAAAGCATACAACTTTAGCCGTTCAAAAGGGGGAAAAGGTTGAATTTTTACAACCCCGAATAGCAAAACAAGGGAAAAAGCACACGACTAAAGCATCAAGGTCTTCAAGCAGCTTCCCAATTCTAACTTCATTCCGGGGATCCCTATACTGTTCTCTCAAGATGTAATCTGATGAGAAATTATAAAGGATGCTCATCCTGCTTTGAGAAGGGGTTTTGGTGAGCAATCCACTCTGAGGGGTTGCATCCTTAGGTGGGTCAAGGAGTCTCTCAAACATCTGGAACTTGGCTTCCCATAAAAGCATTGGTTACTGGTTAATGGTACATTCCAGGCCATACGCTGATGAGCTTCCTGGTTGAGCCATTGAAAGCAGGAGAGTTGTCAAAGGGGGATGCCAAAGTTGAAACCACAGGTATGGTGTTAGGAGATGAGCAATTAGGCTCCATGGAAAAATGGGGGTTTGAGGTTTGGGTTTGTGAAAGTTGCTTTCTTTAGGGCAACTCCTTTCAGCTTGATAGAACACGAACATTAAATGATACTAAGAAATATGGTCCTCGTCTACACTTATCAATGCCATTGTTTGGCTATTTGGGACAGTTGTAAGGAGTAAAGAGAGCTTTTTCCTTGAACTAGAAACGAATGAATAAAGAGCACCAGATAATTTTTTTCTTTAGTCTCACTGGTAGGAACTAGGAAATATATATATTAAAAAATTAATTTTTTAGAGTAAATAGCAACTAGCAAGTATCTCTCACTATGATTTAGGAAATTGATGGTTTTTATTAATATGTAAAGTAGTTGAAATTATTTTTTTAGATAAATGAAATTAGAGTTAAAATTGGATTATTATAATAAATCATATAAAATATAAAAGCAATAAAAATCATAGAAAAATATTGAAAGAATTAACTAAAATAATTCATAATATGAAAAATAATATTAAGGCAACAAAAATAACATTAAGGAAAACAAGAATCCGCAAATAAAATCGATAATACTTTACAATGTGGCTTTGCCTTGGTGTGAACTAATCATATTCTACATACAATACAACTTAAGGGTGAAAGCCTCAGGAGATAAGACCCATGCTAACCAACCTAAGATTTTTCCACCATGACACTGATCAAGTGTTCTACAACCAAACAAAAGACACAGATCCCTAATGTAGATGCTTAGAAACTATAACCCTTTATCGACACTCATAGCGCCCCATATCTCTTCGCTTGTTCTCGTTGATCTATTGAGCAACGATAAGTTCCTCTAAATAGTCAACGTTACCGGAATCTGAAGGCATCAAAATTTCGTCGTCGGTGGTAAAATTGTATCGTTGCCCGATGGCTCTTATAAGCTGGTATACTTCAAACATAGTAGGCCTCTCCTTGGGAGGTGGCAATACACAGTTACAAGCAACTTTAAGAAACTGGAAAACTTCGTTATCGACACCCTTCCCAACCAAGGATGTGTCGATAGCATCTTGAAGTTTTCCATCAGTAGATAACTGTGTAATCCATTCTACCAGACTTCCCTTGAAGCCATCAGGAGCTTTGGCTACATGGGTAGGTCTTTCACCGGTGACCAACTCAAGAAGGACAACTCCGAAGCTGTAGACATCTCCTTTTGGGGTGGCCACGAGAGTTCTGGCGTATTCAGGGGCAACATAACCTAAATCCCCAAACTCGCCATTCACAAAGGTGCTCAGATGTGTATCAACAGGGTTCATGAGTCTAGCAAGACCGAAATCGGATATTTTAGGCTCAAAATCTGCATCTAGTAAGATACACTTGGAGCTTATGTTTCGATGAAGTATGCGAGGATTGCAGTTGTGGTGGAGCCATGCAAATCCTTTGGCAGCCCCTATACCAATTTTAAGGCTCAAGGACCACTCCAACGTCCTGTTAGCATCATCCTCGGGATGCAAGCTATCATGGAGAGTACCATTTGCCATGAATCTGTAAACTAAAAGCCTCTCCTTCTTCGCCACACAGAAACCTAAAAGGGGAACTAAGTTACGGTGTTTCACACTTCCTAGAGTAGCCATCTCAGACGAGAATTCTTTGTCCGAGTGTTGAGAATTCTGTAATCTCTTAATCATTAGAGAGGTGCCATCTTCAAGGACTCCAATGTACATCGTCCCTGTTCTTCCTGAACTGATGATATTATTCTTGTGGAAACTGTTTGTCGCCTTCATAAGGTCGCTTAATCTCATTCTGGCAACCACTTTTTCAAACATGGAGACCTGAAATAACATCAGCATTCAGTACATCACATATCAAACCATAATCAAAGAACAAGCATTAGCTCCAAATTTTATATGGATGCATTAAGTTTTACCTGGATGCCTTTAACTCCCTTTAAGCTCTTGGTCCATTTGTTTCCATCTGGATCATCATCCTTCTTCCTCATGGCAGAATATCTGCGCTGATAGAAGAAGAGACCGATGAACACACCAATCGCAGCAATTGACACCCCACCAACAGCAGCTCCAACAATCATTCCAGTCTTTGTGTTCTTCACGGTCGCCACACATGGATCCAAAGGCTTCCCGCACAGTCCAGGATTACTTGCAACACTTTCAGCCGGTAACGAGAAACGAAGAAAAACAGGAATTGGGCCTGTCAAGCGATTATCAGCCACACTAAAGGTTTTCAACCTACTGAGCAAGGTGAGTTCTGGAGGAATCTGCCCCGTCAAATTGTTATGGTCAAGGTTCAATATGTTTATGAAGCTGCAGTTTGAGAGGTTTCTCGGGATAACTCCAGAGAAATTATTAGATGAGAGATCAAGGGTGGTGACAAACGGGATAAGGGTGGAGATATTAGGCGGAATGCTTCCATAAAGCCTATTGCTCGAAAGATCTAAGCCTGTCATACTCTTGCACTTCACAATTCCTCGAGGGAACTCACCCTTGAGTCCCATATCCGAAAGCTTGATATTAAGAACCCGATTCTCATCCGGGTGCCAACAATCGATCCCGGTGAACCGACAAATATATCCTTCGGTATTGTTGTCGAAATTCCAAGAAGAATTTAAGTAGCCCAGAGTGTCCTCAAGCGAAGCTTTGATGCTCTTCAAACAATTAATATCATCCTCAGTAGCAGAGCTCAAACTACAGCCGAGTAACAACAAAACGAAAACGCTGACAAGGAGGGCGAAAACTCGGCTATGCAACACCATGATCATGAAGAAACCACTTGAATCGAAACTGAAACGGTGAATTAGAGCAATTCACAGGCTTGAACAGAAGATACTAAATGCCAAATTCACTAGACCATGTTTCTTCAAACCTTTAAACCTGAAACAAGTTAACAGAAGGGAGAGCAAAAAGGAACCAATATCAAATTCACATTTCATAAACATCGAAAAACATCAAAAGAAGCTAAAAAATGTATAAATAACAATAATTCAGCTGATAAAGCACCAAATTCAAAAAACATATAAACCTCACCACAGAGAAACTTAAGCAAACCAGCTGAAAGTTGACTACTTGACTTAAACTCAGATCAATATAAGAGCATATCAACCAAAACCAGAAAACAAAAGTTCAAAGACTCACCTTGGGTATCTCGAGTTTTAACCAAAAAAGACCAACGAACGGGCAAAAGGGTAATGGAAACAACAAGGAAGCATCCTGCTTCGCCACAGAGAAACTTAAAGAGAAGACTCCAATAGTACACAAAGGACAAAGTCTACTCCATGGTTTGAACATTCAAAAGAATAATTGGAATTTGGGAACACACAATTAAAAGCTCCAAAGAAAAAAGACGACAACGAAGTGTGAGATATGTGTTAACCGAGTTTGAACTAAAAGATTGAATTTTTGGGGGTTTGATCGGGTCAAACAAGTAATGGGCAATTTAAGAGTGGCTCTTTGCTTGACTTAGTGAAATCCATGGAGCTCTCCGGTCGTGATTCTCGGTCGTGTTCATATATTACCTTTTAATGTTAGATTTATTTTTTTAATTAATTATTGATATTCGGTTTATTAATAGATTAATCTATATTAGATAATGTAAAGGTGAGGATAATCATTTCAACACGTTAAAATTTAAACTTCTGATCTTGCTTAAGAGACCTAATGTCTCATTTCACTAACCAACTTATTATTTGTATATTTTAATATTAGATTAAATTACACGTTAGATCATCTAATTATATGTTTAATTACTTAAAATACTATTATAAAAATACTTTATAGCTAAAGTAATATTTTTAAATGTAAATGGTTAGATATAATAGTAATAATACAATTTGATCTAACAAAAAATTTAGTTTTTAAAATTTATATAATTTATCAATGGGTAAAGTATATATATGATCCCCGACTATAGCATATTATTTTATTAAGTCTCTCGACTATTAAAACTTATAAAATAGTCATCCGACATAGAATGTTGCTTTGTTGAGTCCCTCGATTATTAAAAGTTACAAAATAGTCGTCCGACTATTCATTATGTTCCAAACTCGTCCTTTCCCGTTAAAAATTGATGATATTTTGAGCTGAACGTTAACCTATTGACTATGACATGATAAAATTTTATCCCAGAATCTCAACATACTATCATATCTCAACTATCATTTTAACGCCCAACTTAGACAACCACCAAGTTTTTAATAGAAAATGACGAATCTGGAATATAATAAATAGTTGGGTGACCATTTTGTAACTTTTAATAGTCAATGGACTTAACAATATTAACATTCTATAGTCGAGGGACCTTTTTCTAACTTTTAATAGTCAGGGATTTAATAAGATAATAGCCTATAATCAGTGGATCGTTCATGTACTTTACCCTTTATCAATCCAGTTTTAATCTAAAATAATATAATAAATCTAATGATTTTCATTTTAAAATTTTATTATTTAAAAAATTCTTTTAAATTATTTGTCTTTTTTCCTCATGAGTATTTTATATTTTAACTTCTACTACTATAAGATATAATAGTCAAGTTCGGCCCAAAAAGTTGTGTGGGTTCGTCCTCGCCTATTTCTACTTTCAATTAGTTGCACCATATAAACGATAAACTGAAAATAATATTATTGGGCCAAGCCCATCTTGCTCAATGTATTCAGAAAAAAATCTGTTAATCCAAACATGTTTCAACTTTGAAATCTTTGTCCGAGACTGAATCAAATGTCGGATTTTATGTCCCAAGGATAACATGTTTTTTATTTAGCCATTAGGCATCTCGGTTTATATTTTGGGATATACGATATTTTATACAGTGTTACCAATAAAAAAATTTATTCGAACTCGTCACGCCGGGGTGATGAGTTCTAATAATATATATTTTTTATTAAAATCTATCACATCGAAGTAAACAGTTCGAATAAAAAAATATTTTTTATTGAAACTCGTTACCTCGACGTGACGAGTTTCATGTCACTGTAGAAAATATCATAGATCTCAAAATAAATTTTTACTTGCCTTATTAGGCTAAATAAAAAACTCATATATCTTACTGGGCCAATTTTGCCTCGAATGTCGCTCAATAAAATTAAACTTTTATTTAGAAAAAAACACATTATAATTCATGAACCATATTAAAATATCCTTTTAGTTAAAATTTAATATACTGAAAGTTTATTAATTAAAAACTAAGAGTTCAATAACTTCTATTATAAGTCAACCTAAAGTATTTAATATATTATCTCTATTAATATAATGATATATTATAATTATTATATATCAGATTTGAACTTTAAATATTTAAATATGTCCGATCAAATTTTCTGACCATTTTTAATTTTTTTATTAATCTGATTAAGTATAAAATAACATATATTTAAAGATAATTTTTAATTATTGTCACTGAACTCTCTTTTTTCGAGCAAATATTTTTAAAAATTATTTATTGGTGCAGACATTTTCCTAAACAGCTAATATTAAAAAAAATGGCGAATTAATTAAGTTATTTAATAAATAATATGGTCAAATTTGATTTTTTTTTTTAATATTTAATATTTGATTATTTAGATTTATCCAAATCCAATTAAGATTATCTAATCTAATCTTATATAGGCGAAAAAACAAAAGATTAAAATAAATATTAATAATAAATAACAATGTACAAAAAATAAAGGGTAAAGTATATAAATAGTCACTGCACTTTAGGTCTCCAACTTTTAAAACTTGCAATATAATTACCAAACATTTAGTTCGTTTGCAATATGATCCCTGATAACGACCGTTTCACTGGCGTTAGGATAAATTATATAAATGGTCATTGAACTTTTCAGGCACTTACATTTAGGTCTCCTTAACTTTTAAAACTTGCAACACAATCATCAATTACATTCTAAACCCCAAATTCTAAAATACTTCAATTATATTCTAAACCTCAAATTCTAAAATACTTCAATTACATGCCAACCCCAAATCTATAATTCATTCTCAAAATCTATCATAACAAACTAAACTTGAAGCAACAACTCTAAACCCTAAAAACATAATCGTTTCAAAAAAAATAACCAATTATAATTGAACAATAAGTGATTATGTTGGACCTAAATACACAATTCAATTTATAAAATAGTTAACTCAAAATTTTTTTTCGATTTGAGTTTATAAAATTTAAATCAAGTCGAATTGAATTGAATTTTTGAGTTTCTGTTTAAATTTAATTATAAATATTTGTCATATTATAATTTTATTTTATTCTAATTCAGTTCCGTTTATAAAATAGTTGACTCAAATTTTTTCGATTTGAGTTTATAAAATTTAAATCAAGTCGAATTGAATTAAATTTTTGAGTTTCTATTTAAATTTAATTATAAATATTTATAATACTATAATATTATTTGATTATAATTTAAATAGTTTTTTTAAACATATACAATAAATATATTTCTTCATATTTTTTCCATATGTGATATATATATATCATACATAGTCAAATGAATTGACTCAAACTTAAAAATTAATCCACTAATTACTAAAAAAATTGAGATATTCAAGTTGTATCTTACAACTGGATTTTAACTTGATTTTTTTTTTAATTTGAGTTTATGAAATTGCAACTCAAAGTCAATTTATATCAAAATTTTTGAATCAATTCAAGTCGAAAAATAATTTTTTCGAATCGAAATGAGTATTGTTCACTTATAGTTGGTTAAATCTAACTTTTAAATCCTAAACCCAACATAATCACTTATTGTCATGGACCCAAAATGAACCAAATGTTGTTGATTATGTTTGGTTAATTGGTGGGGAAATTTAGCATTTAAACTTATGTTTTGAGGGTTTAGGGTTGTTGCTTCAAGTTCAGTTTGTTATGGCAGATTTTGAGAATGAATTATGAATTTGGGGTTGGGTATGTAATTGATGTATTTTGGAATTTGAAGTTTAGAATATAATTGAAGCATTTTGGAATTTGGGGTTTAAAATGTAATTAATGAATGTGTTGTAAGTTTTAAAAGTTGGGGACCTAAATGCAAGCGCCTGAAAAGTTCAGTGACAATTTATATAATTTACCCTAACAACAGTGAAATGGACATTACGTTGGACCATATTACAAACGAACTAAATGTTTGGTGACTTTATTACAAGTTTTAAAAGTTAGGGACCTAAATGTAAGAATCTGAAAAGTTAAAGCGACCATTTATATACTTTACCCAAAAATAAACTTTTAGCTTCATTTCGTCTCTCTTTTCTTTCTCTCCAGTTATCGAAGAGTAGTAGCAGCCACAAATATCCACCCTCCCAAACACCAAACCCTCTTTGGAAAAAGAAAAGGGATTGATTAATTCGAATCTTCATCGAATTAGGTCACTTTGTTGCCCCATTTCCGTTGGAATCAATCAGGTAAATTTCTCTCTCCATCGCTATTCCCTTCTTTTCCTGTCGTTTTCGCTCCCCTCTCCTGATCTGCACTTTTGGTTTTGTAACCCATGAAAACAATTTTAAATCCCTCCATTTTTCTTCAAAATTTTTAATTTTCCCTTTTTTTATCTATCGGGAACTACGTTGTGATCTGCCGAACTTCGTGTACTCCCCCCGGGCGTTTGCAGTGAAAATTTCACAGTTCTGATGGGGTCCTTTATTTTTAGGTTTGGGGAGTAAGTGTTTCGTGTTTACGATCTCTGGATCATTGTCGACTTTATGTTATTTTGGAGCTTCTAAAATCACTGGTGAGGACAGCTGCTTCGTTATTGTAAACTTGCACCTTTTTTTGATTCTTTGTTTTTGTCATTAATAGCTGAGTTATCTTTAGTCTTTTTAGGGATAAACTGGAGCTATCATTTTCTTTTTCTTATCTTTTGATTGCCTTGATCGCTTATTTGTTGCAGTTAAGGGATAAAGGAATGTTCACTTTGAACTTAATGATGGTGAAGTCTTGAGTGCTTGCCATTTTTGTTAAATTTGGAAGTATCTTAATCTGTTTATTAGTATTGATGGAAGTAAACTTGTTCTAAATTTTAGGCCACTTTAGAATCGGGAATTAGAGAAAAGTAGGAAAATCTTTAATCTGTTGAAACTCATTATCTTCCGAATGGCAGCTTAGATAATTGATCTGTTTATGGAACGTAATTATTACCGTGATAGAATTACTAGAACTCAAAGTTTATTGCTTGGCGACTAAATTTTGTTCGAATTCAAATTAAAGTTTGTGCTATAAATTATGCTGTATTTGCTTATGAACTTATCACTTTTCACAGACAATGTTGAATTCTTTGAAAAGAAAAATATGTTTTCTTATCATGTTGAACTTTATCTAACGTGATATTTGGTTCTCATGGTTTTTGTTCATTTTGCCCTTTTGTTACAAAGAGATAGAGAAGGATTTTGTACTCTGGAAAATCTGTTTGGTTTTACATTCTTTCTCTACTTCTGCAGTGGGGGGATCTTAATTTCCAGCTGATGTTTTTCTCTTACAGGTTTTTTTCCATGGAAGATAAGCAGTCAGTTGCAACACTCATAGACTCAACAACCTCTAAGATACAGCAGCTTCAGAAAGCATTTGCTGAACTTGAAAGTCATCGTGCTGTAACACTTAATCTGAAATGGAAAGAACTTGAGGAGCATTTCCATGGGCTTGAGAAGTCCTTGAAGAGAAGTTTCCATGAGTTGGAAGACCAAGAGAAGGAATTTGAGACTAAAACAAGGAAATCTCGAGAAATGCTGAAGAAGCGTGAAGCGGCTGTTGTAGCCAAAGAACAAGCTTCACTGGTTAGGCTACAAGAAAAGAGAGATGCTGCTGTTTTTTCCATTACTAATACTCTAGAAAAGCATAGGAAAGTATCACCTGAGGAGCCCGGTGGTGTCAGCTGTGATAGAGACAGCGGAGAACTGTCAGTTGAGGATAAACCACCTGATTCTGTAGCTTCTGAAAGTAATTTGGAGGATATAAAATGTCCTGAGAATGGAAATTTTGAGGTGAAATCTTATCCCCAGTTGGCAAAACTTTGTGAAGAGATGGATTCTGAAGGACTGCACAAGTTTATATCAGATAACCGAAAGAACCTTGCTGCCCTCAAGGATGAAATTCCTTGGGCGTTGAAGGCTGCAGCAAGCCCAGCTCACTTGGTCCTGGAATCTTTGAAAGGATTTTACCCTTTAGAAGCACTGAATGTAGACCGAAAGAAAGATTCAAATCTACTGGGTCTTAGGCGAACCTGTATTATGTTGATGGAATGTCTTAGCTTTTTGCTAAGTAATATGGACGTGGTTTCTGTTTCTGTTTCTGCAGTAATCTCTGAAGATATTAAGGAGCAAGCAAAAGTTAATTGCTGAGGAATGGAAACCAAAGTTGGATAATCTTGACCTGGATGCTAGTAATGGTAATTCATTGGAAGCTCATGCTTTCCTGCAACTTCTTGCCACTTTTGGTATTGCTTCTGACTTCAATGAGGAAGAACTCTCAAGGCTGATACCAATGGTCTCTCGTCGTCGTCAAACAGCTGATCTCTGCCGTTCCCTTGGTTTGTCTGAAAAAATGCCAGGTTTGTGTAGTAAAAACTTGCATTGTAACATTTGCATGGAATACTTGTTTGTTTGAAAAAACTCAACTGATTCTGAAAAATGAGATTGAATATTTCTCTATTTACCATGGGTTTACATTCTTATTCATCCATTATGTCTCTTTTCTTCCATTCTAGTAAAACTGATATGACTAACCATTTCAAGTAGGCTTTCAGGAATATTAAAAAGAAAAACCAGGTCAGGTCAGACATTGTAAATCAACCGAATTTTTCTGTTCTCCTATATTAGGCAACTTCAAGCAGTTGGGACCAGGAAAATAGATCTTTTCTTGAAGATCCTAAATGCTTTTAAGTTTGGATATTTTTGAAACAATATCGCTGTTAAAATGCTATTTTGGAGTTGAGTGGACCATCTTCCATTTTGGATTTATCGGCATTTTTAGATATGTGTCCAGTTTGTTCGGGATGAAGACGAGCAGTGTTAAAATATAGTGTTTTCTGTACCTGAATAATAGTACCAATGTCCTAGAGCAAGAACTGTGAATTCCACATGAAGTAATGTCGTAGATAATCAACCATTTCTTTCACTTATCCTGGTTTTGGTTAGTTGTAGTTTCTTTTTTATTTATCTTTCCATTATTTATATTTCAGGTGTAATTGAAGTTTTGGCGAATAGTGGAAGGCAAATTGATGCAGTTAACCTGGCTTTTGCATTTGATCTTACAACACAGCTCTCACCTGTACCTTTACTCAAGGCCTACTTGACGGAGGCAAAAAAAGCTTCTTCCCCTGTTAAGCCTGGAAATGCCTCTCTCACTGCTCAGGTATGTTCTTTACTCCTCTACTTCAAGGTGATTGGTTTTCCTAATATTTGCTGAATATATTTTGTTCGAGGGACAAGCTCCTACTTTTGTTTTTGTCCACAAGGCCTTGTCTGAAGCAGATTGTACCAGCTTTCTGTCCCGTCAACCATTCTAACGTTTAGGATGATCTGACTATTAGTTATCACTTACCTTTAATAAATCTGACACCATTTGGTAGCTAAATTGTTTAATAGTTATTTGCATGTGGCCCCGTTGACAATTTGTTCTTTTCGTTTGAATGCAGAATATTTTGCTAAAAATCACGCTGCTTATCTGTTTTTTGGGTGAAATACTTCTGTATTTGCAGACCGAGTTTAGCGAGAGAGAGAGTTGGCTGCTCTGAAGGCTGTGATCAAATGCATTGAGGAGCATAATCTTGAGGAGCAATACCCTGTCGATCCACTTCAGAAGCAGGTTCTCCACTTGGAGAAAGCTAAGGCAGACAAGAAGGGGACAACTGAAGCTGCAAAGCCTCAACCAAAGAGGCCTCGCGCCAATGGTGCTGGATATGGTCCACGGGTCACTAACGTGGCTGCCGAAAAACCATTCTATTCTAGAGTTGCTGACAGGTATCCGCAATACGTGTATGACAGACCTTACGTTTACCATGGTCCTGTTGACAACCATGGCCACACTCTTCTTGGTTCAGCCACTTACAATTTGTCTCCCAGTCATGGTAACTACTTCGGCTACCAGTATCAGGTTCCCTATCTTCACTAATTCCCAAAAGAATGGCAACAACGTGACTGTGATCCTCACTTAACTATTAGCCTTAACCTTCCACGTTGCAGTGTATGAATATGGACTTGGTATCTAAAAAAAATGCCTTGTTAATTTTAATCTGGTGTACAAGAAGATGCTTTAATCCTCTAATATATGCACTCTGTTTTTATGTGTACCCATCTTTTTTTCATTCATTACCACTGTGCTTCTATTTTGGAGTCGGCGTTTTGATCCACCGAGCCCTGTGTTTTGAAATGCCGTATGGTGGCTTGGAAGCAAATTTCCCATCGGTGTATTCGTTAGGACCAAGAAAAAAATAGACCGGATCGATGGTTTATAAGTTGTATGGATATCATAAAATCTATGTAGATGAATATTAAACTGCATCAATCATGATTTGTGATATGATAATATAAACGAACAGCATAAGGACGTACGGATTGTTTAAATCTGAATATAAGCAGAGCAGAGACGGCCTGTTTATGCTTATTTTGAAGTGGAGAGTCGTTTTCCATCAATAAAAAGTTCAACGTTTTAAACAAGTTCAGTCAATGAGAGAATTACAACAGTTCTCAAAACATTTATACCATTGCTCTCGGGAATTTCCTGTTTTGTTGACTATACAAAACGTTTTTTTTATTTTGAAGCTTAGTCTATGTACACTTGGTTCCAATTTATTAGTCAACCAAAAGAAATTTAGTAACCATCACCCTCAATGGTCCCTCTTGGTCTGGTTGGCACTGGGGATAAGGTCAAATTTGATGCACCGATCAACTAGTCCACCTTATGTGTTCTTGGCCACACACGCTTACATACATACATACAGTGAAGTAATTACCGAATAACTGGAGTTTCAGGAAATTGCTTTCTGGCACCAAACATGGATTTCACAAGAAAGATTTGGACCTTCTTTTCAGTTACACTATTGTTTAGTCTTGCACATGCATCGTCAGCCAATCTTACAAGCATCAATGATACTGCTGTAGAAAGGATTCATGTAGGATTGATTATTGATAGGCAATCTTGGGTGGGAAAAATGGTTGGTAGTTGCATTTCCATGGCTATATCCGATTTTTACCGTCGAAATAGTCACTATCAAACGAGACTAGTTCTGCATACCAGAGATTCTGAGGGTGATCCGTTGCTTGTTCTATCCTATGGTATGTTTTCATTTTTCTCGATGAAAGTTCTCTCTTTGGTTGGCATACTTTTTTCTTCTTCTTTGTTATGACACTGTCCATATACACTTACTGTCGTGCAGCCTTGGTTCTCATGGAAAGTGTGAAATTGGAAGCTATTATTGCAGTAGAAAATTCAGCTGGACTGAAGGTTTTAGTAGAGTTGGGATCAAGAATCAAGATTCCCATTATTTCTCTCTTTGCATCTGGTCCATCCATGTCCTTCTCTGAGCATCCTTATTTGATTCAAATCGGTGAAGATGAGTTCTCTCAAGCCAAAGGCATTGCTGCCATTGTTGAAGCATTCAGTTGGAAAAGTGTTATCCTCATTTATGAAAATAATGATTCTACAAGACAAATCCTTTCTAATCTGATCACTTCCTTTGAGGACACCAATGTTCGTCTTGCCCTGCATATAGCCCTTTCAGCATCATCTACTGATGAAGAGATCATTGAACAGCTCACCATGCTCAAGAGTTTGCAGACGACTATATATGTTGTGCACATGTCACCGTTTCTCGCATCTCGACTTTTCTTGAACGCCAAATGGCTTGGAATGATAAGCAAAGGGTATGCTTGGATTACAACTGATACGATTACAAACTTCATGAATTCAATGGATCCATCAGTCATCGAGTCAATGCAGGGGGTGGTGGGATTCAAACCTCACATTCCGGCATCAAAGGAGCTTCGCGAATTCGCAGTAAGGTGGAGGAGTAAAAACTTGAATGAAAACCAAGATTTGCAGGAAATGGAATTAAATGTCTACGGTATATACACTTATGATATGGTTCAGGCTCTTGCAACAACATCAGAAATCATGATGATTCGACATCACGATATCATACACCAAGAAACAAGATTGAATATGAACTTCACTACCATCCGTTCCTCACAAGGTGGTTTGGTGTTTATTGATGAGATGTTACAGAGTAGATTCAATGGAATAAGTGGTGGCTTTCAACTTACTAATGGCAGTCTGATCCCAAAGAAATTCGAAATCGTAAATGTATTCAGGGAAGAAAGAATAATTGGTTACTGGAATCCAGAAATCGGAATTACTCCAATATCGGAGGAAGAAAACCATACCGAGACAAACATGACATCGTCGAGTAAGCTTGAAAGTGTTATTTGGCCTGGAGGAACTAAGAACTTTCCAAAAGGTTGGTCTCTACACGGGAGGAGGTTGAGGATTGGGGTTCCAGTAAATAATGGTTTCAGAGAATTATTAAGCGTGATTCGTGATCCCGGAACAAACGAATCAATCGTATCTGGATTCTGTGTTGATGTGTTTAAGGAAGCTGTTCAAATCTTAGAATACGAAGTACATTATGACTTCATCCCATTCAAAGATACCAACGGACGAATGGCAGGATCTTACAATGATCTTCTCCTTCAGGTTTATCATAAGGTAAGCATGCATTTTTTAGATGGTAGCAGCTTGTAGTTTATATTTTAAGTCATGAGACTGAACGTTTACCTTCGAAGATTTCAACTTATTCTTTCTTGTGATCAATGGATTAGAATTACGACGCTGTTGTGGGAGATGTGACGATTTACTCTGAAAGATTTGCACATGTAGACTTCACGCTGCCATTCACTGACTCTGGCATTGGAATCGTCGTGCCGAAAATCAGCAAAACCAGTATGTGGATCTTCCTTCAGCCATTTTCCAGAGATCTGTGGATAACAACTGCTGCTTCCTTTGTTTTCACTGGCTTTGTGGTTTGGCTGATCGAACATCCCATCAACGACGAGTTCCAAGGCTCATCAACTGAGCAAATAGGAATGATCTTTTGGTACTCATTCTCAACTCTGGTATTTGCTCACAGTGAGTACTTCTTGTTCAACTTAAATAACATCTCTGTTTGAAGCATACAATAACTTTTCTTATATACATTACAATTCAAAACTGCAGAGAATCTGTTGAGCAACTTATCGAAGGTCGTTGTGACGATATGGGTGTTTGTTGTCCTTATAATAACCTCAAGCTACACTGCAACTTTGGCTTCCATGTTAACAGTTGAACAAATCGAATCGAACTCGAAAGGGGGCTACGTAGGTTACCATTCTGGTTTTCGTGTTTCAGGAGCTATCAGCAACTTGAATTTTGAAAATCCAGCGCTAAAGCCATACAGTTCTCCAGAAGAATATGTCAATGCTTTAAGAAGGGGAAGTGAAAAGGGTGGTGTGTCGGCCATTATCAACGAATTACCATACCTTAAAGTATTCATTGCCAGACACCCTGCAGATTACAGAATGATCAAAACCGAGACTATCTCAGGCGGTTTCGGCTTTGTAAGATTCCTTCAGCAAATCCATTCAAAATCATGATTTTGATCTTCCTTTGATTTGTTTTACGTGTTTCACAGGCTTTCCCTAAAGGCTCCCCACTCGTCCAAGACATATCAGGTGCAATTATTAGGCTGAGAGAAGAAGGGAAGTTGCAAAAGATGGAAAATGAATGGTTTAACAATACTGAATCAGTGCTTACAAACCAGGACTCATCAAGCAATCCCAGCAGGTTAATGGTTGGCAGCTTTGGAGGATTGTTTCTTATTACTGGGGTGTCTTCGTCTTCAGCTCTACTCGTACGCCTATATCAGAAACGTCGAACCATAACAATCAGCAACTTCAAATTCTTCCTCAGCAGTACTATAGACACTGTAAAAGGCTGCTTCAAAGTTCAAAAATATCTTATTACAAGTGAACCGAAAAATTTAACTAGTAGGCTACCATGTGCAAATTGAATGTTCTGTTACTTTACGGAGTCTGTATTATCATCGCAACTTCAAATCATATATGGTTGACATAATCATTTTCTTTCTCATCATTTAAATCACCTTAAATTATTAGCTCGTCTATTGCAAATCAACAACAACAAATTTAGTTTAACAAATTTAATGGCTTAATTTGAATTCAATTAAACATTGAGTTAACTACACGATAGATCACTTGTGTATGTGTTGTGTCTATTTTTCTTTACTAGTTTCAAGAAACATGATATATGATCACTTTAGTTTTTATTTAATTAAGATATAATCTCTTTTTACTTTTTGTTTTTGGTTAATTAAGATATGGTCATCATGATCATGGGTTAACTGCGTGATGAGTTGCTCATTCTTCTTTTGAGGGGTTGGAGTATTCAATATCATTTCTTGATATTGGGAGAATATGAAAGGTCAATACCAAGGAGCGCGAGGAAGAGGTTTTCATGGCAGAGGTTACCAAGGACGATGGTTTCAACTTCAGGGGAGAAGCGGCCCGAGGGATTTCGGAGAGAGGAGTTCCAAGTTCGGTGACGAATGGACTGCTTTCATAGATAACTTGAGTAAGAGAGTTTCAAGAGGTACTCTAAGGGAGTTCTTTAATAACTATGGAGAAGTGAGGCGGGGTTTTATCCCGAGAATCATCAGGAACCCTAGGTATAAAGAGTGTATCTTTGCTTTTGTGAGGTTTGCTACAGAGGCCGATATGGATAATTGCTTAAGGAGTACGAATAATGCAAAGATCGATGGGAGAAGCATATTGGTGTCCAAAGCGAAATTTACAACGTATTCGCTGACTGGTTTTAAAGAAAAGTGGGGGGAGGGGAAGGTGATGAAGAAGTCGAAAGATCGTCCGGAGTCTACTATGAAAAGGAAAGTATGGGTGGAGAAGGAAAGGGATGAAAGGTCTTTTACAAATTTACTGAAAGGGAAAGAGAAGATGAAAGCTGGACCTGTGGAAGAATCACCGAATGATGTGAATAAGGTGGTGGAAGCGGAGGCTTTTCTTGAGCTCACTACAAAAAATGAACAGGTGGAGGATAGAGAGTCGCCCACGAACGTGTTAGATTTCCAGGTGGCTTCTGAAGATGTGGAATGGATTAAGCATTCGTTAGTGGGGCTTACAAGAGAAAATTTTGATCTGGATCTTGTACAAAGAGCATTGGAAAACGAATGAGTCAATGCAAGGATTGTAAAATGGGAGAACTCACAGAATTCATGTATTATTATTTTTAATTCGAAAAGTGAGATGGAAGAAACTTGGGAGGAAAAGGATGACGGTTGGGACTACTGGTTCAAACATGTTGCTCCCGTTAAAGATAAGTCAAGTCACACTTCTACTTATTACACTTGTGTTCTCAAAGGTGTTCCTCTACAATTGTGGCACATCAATTTTTTTCTCGGCTCTAGGGAATAACTGGGGATCTTTTATTGAAGTAGAAGAGTCAACGAGAGATATGAAGAATTTTTCATCGGCAAGAATGGTAGTCACGGCTGCTTGCAGCTTTGATATCCCGAAGTCGGTGACCATCATATCAAAAGGAAGATTTTTTGTTATTAAAGTGGACGTTCCAGAGGAAGAGATTAATATGCCGAAGAGTCCAGTTCAAGAAGGAATAATTTTTTTACTGATGTTTGGCCAACAGAAGCGAATCCAGTGCATGAGAATTTTGATTCAGACGGTGGCAGTGGGTTTAAGAGTAATGCCTTGGCGAGAGATAGTGTCACGTCGGTGAGTAAAGCTCAATCAAAGATTGAAAATGTGTGTGTCGTTTCGGGTTATGCTATGGCGGCTGGGGGTCTTTTACCGTTAGAAAATTTGAACAAGTACGAACATGGAAATGATGAGAACTTCAACATGGGCGGTCAAATCGAGGAGAGGCGTTTGAACGATGATGGTTTAATTGAGAATAGTAAAAGTGTTAACGGGGGCTGTCAGGAACTGTCTGCTGAGGTGGATATCCACTCTCAATTGGGTTTTATGGTAAATGGGCCTAAGGTGACATGATGTTATGAATCAGCCTAATAGTTTAGTGGCTACTGTTGATTTAATAGAAGAGGAGGTTTTCAGAAAGTAAGTTTAGTCGGTTGGATGGATTTAGGCCGGATGAGGGGATAAGATTAAGCCGAGACATGGGTTTTGTAGATATTTTCCCTGGACCCTGATAGCCTAAGAATGGGTTTATCCGTTCAAGGCAATATATCATCGTGGAGTGGTGAGGAAGCTAACTCGCAGATGCTTGAATCTCTGGTGATTCCGGACTCGGTGATGGTTTATAAGAGGAAGGGTGCACCAATTCCTAGAGCAGTGATAAGGAGGGTAGTCAGAAGGTTAAGTGGAGATTCGATTGAAGACAAGGGGCGTCTAGATGGGATTAATTTCGGGCTGCGTAATTGGGAAGGGATCATTGATGATGGAGATTTCCCATCTTCAATTCGCAGATGATGTTTTGTGGTGCCTTTGAAAATCAAATCAAAAATGTAAAATGGGTGCTACGAGTTTTTGAATTAGCTTCGGGGCTCGAGTTGAACATGAAGAAATGCATGCTGTTTCCTGCAGCTTATTTAGGTTTGTTGCTTGGGGCAGGCCGAAATTCTGTTAAGTTTTGGAAACCGATGATTGCTTAAGTCGAGAATAGACTAGCTGGGTGGAAATCCGTATCACTAACTTATGGTGGCAGGATTACTCTAATTAAATATGTTTTGTTTAATCTCCCTACTTATTATTTGTCCCTATTCAAGCTACCTATGTCTGTGTACAAAAAAATCAATGGACTATTTTCTAATTTTTTTTTGTGGGGCGATATTCAAGGAAAAAGGGTTATTCATTGGCTGAGTTGGACGGGTGTATGTAAGCAAATGAACGTTGGTGGTCTTGTTTTCGTGGATCTTAAGGAAAAAAAATTCGTTCTTCTTGGAAAATGGTGCTGGAGGTTTTATAATGAATCATTTAGTCTATAGAGACATGTGGCTATCGCTAAAAATAATCTATCTAAAGAGGTCATACTTCTACCCTTTTCGCATCCTAGCGGAGCATCGTGGATGTGGCCAGGGATCTTCTCTACTTTCATTGGGTAAGGAGAGTTTAAGAGATTTCAAGAGCTATTCCAGCTTCAAGTTGGAGATGGGATTGCCATAAGGTTTTGGCAAGACAAGTAGATTGGTAATCGGCCGCTAAAGGAGATGTTTCCAATAATTTTTGCATTGGCGATTAATAAAGGGGTTCGATTTCAGAGTTTGGGGCAAAGAATGAGACGAGGTGGATTTAGAATATTCGATTGAGGAGGAATGTTTTTTATTGGGAGATGAGTCAATGGTAGGGTTTGATGCGACTTCTCGCTGGTTTCGTGAGTTTGTCATCTCAATTGGATTGGGTAAAATAGACGGGTTCTAGTGATGGGATTTCTTCTGTTAAATCGGCTTCTAATCTTGATTGTTCAGCTGGGCAAGGTGATTTTAATTGGAAAATGAAGGTATGGTTGGGTCTAGTCCTGTTCAAAATGGAAGCTTTCGTTTGGCGGGTGCTTCGGTGTAGACTCCCAGTGAGAGTGGAACTCGAAAATAGAGGTGTTTCCATATTGGATTCTCGATGTCCGTTGTGTTTATTATGCCCAGAATCGGTTGACCATTAGCTTTTCTCTTGTTTGGCAATTTGGAAAGTATGGGGAAGTTTTCTATCTTTATGGGGTGTCTCGATTGCAGTTCCTATTGATCCAATAGGTTTCATGTAGGTTTGGTTCGACTCCCTTCCTTCTCGATCGGTGTTTGATATTATTTGAGGTTTATTACTTTTGGCAACGATTTGGTCTACTTGGCTTCTAAGGAACGAAGTGGTTTTTAAAGGGAAAACTTTTGATGGTTTACAATTGATGTTTTTAATAAAGAACCGAATAACTTGCTGGCTGAAGACGAAGTTCCCTTCAGCTCCGTTCAGTGTGGAAAGTATAACAGCTGATCAAATAATTGCCAAGGATCCTATCCTTTGCAACAGGGTTTCAGTTAATCATCAGGTTTGGACTCCACAACTTTGAAGTTTAATGTTGATGGTTCTATGAGAGCTGATGGGAGCGGTGGTGGGATGGGGGACTTTTAGAGACTCGAACGGATCAATTTTAGAGTCTTTTTCGATCCCAATTGGGAGGGGCTTGCCGATGCAGGCTAAAATCTTGGCTCTGGACCATGCGATCAAGTTTTTCATTGGTTTAATTTGTTATAAATCTGTTGATCTTGTCCTTGAATGTGATTGTGAAGTTGTGGTGAATTGGTTGAGAATGCCTTCATCGATTCCTGCTGAATGTGGAGAGGTCCTTCCCCCGATTTTTGATACAATTGCTAGAAAAAATTTTGTAGTGAAATATTCCCAAGGAGTTGCAATTCTGCAGCAGATCAACTGGCAAAATTGGCTTCAGATTTACATCCTGGATAATGTGTTTTTTGCTGGGTTTTGATTATGGTTACTGTACTTGGATTTAGTTTTGCTAGTTTTGTATTACTTTGCTTTTAGGTTGTTTGGATGGCTTTCTTTATGTAGTTGCGCACTCTTTTTCTTCCATTTATGATTAGGGGTTTTTAATGAGTCCCTGTTTAGTGTGATGTTTCTTCTATCTAATAAAGTGATTTTATTTTCAAAAAAAAAATCATGGGTTAACTTCCACCAACCGTTAATAGATTAGGTGACGTGGTATTATAGTACAATTACACATTTGGTCTATGTTATTTACGTATTCTTTTAATTTAGTCATACTTTAGATTAGGTGACGTGGTATTATAGTACAATTACACATTTGGTCTATGTTATTTACGTATTCTTTTAATTTAGTCATACTTTTAATAAATTAAAATAAATTCAATCCTCCAATCGAATAACGTCACTGGTGCTATTTGTCGTGTCACGTGTCCTTATTTGGTTTGAGGACTAACTTCAAAATATGTTATCATAAATATATATATTTCCAAATAAAAATAAAATATTTTTAAATTAAGCTAATAATAAATATATTAAAATAAAA